GAAAGACAGATCATTCTGTCAACAAAAAGAATGGGGTATATACCTTGTCTGAATTAAATATAAATAATCTGGGAAAGGCTACAGGCATTCCTACTACCTCAGGCTGAACACTGGTCTCAGCTCCACCCTAATTGTAAACTCTGGGTAGCCTAGGGGCTTAAAAGTTTATTGCTTCCTCACTTGCTCCCTGCTGGCTTTCCAGCTTGTTACTGGTTGCTTTAAATTCCAGTGAACTCAGGGCCCTAGGGAGAGAAATGGCACTGGTAGTGACAAGCTGGTAGTGACAAGCCTGGCGTTGGTGGTGCACGACTTTAATCCCAGCACTTGGGAGGCAGAGACAGGAGGATCTCTGTGAGTTCAAGGCCAACCTGGTCTACAGAGTGAGTGCCAGGACAGTCAGTGCCACACAGAGAAAGCCTGTCTCAACAAACAAACAAAAAAAACAAGCTGGGACTCAAGCTAGAATGAGCTTTCGCTACTCTGTATATCTCGGACTCTCCCACCATGCCCTCCCACAGTAATCATACTAGTGTGTGGTGTACTGTGACTTACATGTTGCAAGTGTAAATGAATGTGGCATAGTTTCATCTAATAAAGCCATTTAGGTTAGGTTATCAGGTGAGGATAAAAAGGATGAAGGTGTCATTTCCCTTCAGATAGATAGAATAGTGGTCCTGCCTGGCCCTGGCTGCCAGACTGCCCCTTCCTAATGCCTACAGGTGCCCATTTTTTGGGTCCCTGGTACCCTGATGTTCTGTTTCCAGAATTCTTTCTGTGATTTCTTTCTTTTTTCTCTTTTTTTATTTTGGTTTTTCGAGACAGGGTTCTCTGTGTAGCTTTGGAGCCTATCCTGGCACTTGCTCTGTAGACCGGGCGGGACTCGAACTCACAGAGATCCGCCTGCCTCTGCCTCCTGAGTGCTGGGATTAAAGGCATGCGCCACCAACGCCCGGCTCTCTCTGTGGTTGCTGAGGCAACAGAGTGAAAGGGTCCTAGGCTTGGCCAATCATTAAAGGGAGGACCGGAAATTGGACTGGGAGTCCCGCCCACTGTGGGTGTCTGGGTGGCCCCTTTTCCACTTCAAGGGAATACGGCCTAAGGCTTCTGAGGAATTTGTTCCTTGTCGAGAGAGGTGAGGTTTTGGTGTATGGGCTGATTGGTTACTGGGCCAGGATTCCTAGTTTTGGGCATATTACAGGGAGGCGTGTGGGTTGGCTTTGGAACCGTTTCTCCCCTCCCCCCCCACACGTTGGGGGGGGTGCTCGTA